TGTCACACAATTATACATATATATATCTAGTTTTAATTCTGTAATAATAAAATTATGTTTTAAACGTGTATCTCGTATCGCATACACCCTTGAATGTTTTACTCTACCTCCTTTAATTTTTGTTAAATTGACGAAAGATGTATCACAGCCACCTAAATTTTATCAAATAATAAAGATCTACTGCCGCAAAATCATAAATTATGTATTAAGTATATTGAAGATGTATAAAGTCTCCATTGAATATCAGAATAATATACTGACTGTTCCATGTAAAAAAAGAAGAAACTTGCATTTAAAAGTGATCATTGTTCAATATTAATTTTGCCTCACTCTGTATACCTTTTTGGATCAAATTTTAACTTGGTTTCACATACTACTGGTTATTTCAACTAAATATCAAGCTATATACAGGGTAAATTACAATTTAGGTAGCTCTTATTGAAATTTACAATTTATTCTTCATTTTCACAAAATGTGAAATATGTCAAAAACGTTACATTTTAGATATATGCTTCTTTAATGAAACTCGCATTTATGTTTTTTCTATAACCCAAAAAATAATTAATATATACATGGTGTTACATTACAAAAAAACGCAACTTTGATATGTAACTTTTTTGGGGACATCATGTATATAGAACTCTATATATTTTTATAAAATGCTTTCAATTAACCTTACAGATGCTCCCAAAATTTCATTTAGATATAAACTATCGTTTTCCTTGGAGCCTCCCTGTACATCGTCCTGCCAAATTTTTTATAATATATAAAATTCTACAGGGTGAAATATGAGAAATTGAATCGCATAATTCGATTTATTAAAAACATTGTAATGCCCATCACTACTCGGTTGCAGTCATTGAAAAATCTAATCCCACCAGATGAATGAAAAAAAAACACTCTCCCCATATTATTATCCTAGTCTGGCTTTTTAAATTTCTTAAAAAGGAAAAAATAAACCGCACAGTGATGATGAGCGCTGGAAAACGACCGAAACGCGCTCTACCGGTGCATAGACAAGGAACTTCATTTGCCGATTGAAAGGGAGGACGTTAATTTTTCAGAATGAAGTACAAAAGGGCCTGAAATGAGTAGGACGAAAACACAAGGGCACGCTGGAGTCTACAGGTGAAGTGGACAAAGGGTAGAGAGTGAAATTTTGATGAGGACGGTTATTTTAAGAACTTTTCGGTGTTTGGGGTGTTTCTTTTGAGTTATTAGTGTCAAGAGAAGGTCTTTAACACAGCTACATTAAAGATATTTAAAGAGGGAAATAAAATAATATGTAAAATTCATAAAAAATTGACAGAAAAAAAATAAAAATTTATAGAGCTATTAAAAAAATGTCATAAAAAATATTTTGGAGTTAAATTGGCCAGAAATTATATTTTTATAGCTTTCTCTATACAGGATGGTCTACAGTGGTCTTTGTTTTGCTACTGTTTCCGAACCATTCATAATAGGAATTAAGCCTGCGGCCGTTTTTAAACTGAATTTTTCAGACATTTTTACTTCGGTTTCTGATATATCTGAATGAGAGGAATCAAGTTCAGAAGTTGTGTTAGGATTTAAGGGTTCTAAGTTTAAATTATTTATTCTATCATTTAAAATTTTATAAATGGCAGCAACATTTGATTGATGATTAAATAAAATAATATAATATAATAAATATCTACTTATACTACACAACAGAAAAAACTTTTATATTATAATCTTTTTGAGAAAAATGCATTCTTTATAAAAAAATTTCCTCCTTCTAAAATGATTAATCCCATTTTTACTTTTACGTGCCAAAAATTCAAACCGCATTGCTAAAAAGTAAAAATAAAGTAATGTAATTTTTGGGTTTTTATTTTTTGATAAATTGTTATTATTACTTTGGTTTAACGCCATATTTTTGCGGCCTTAATATATAAAAAAGCACAAAATGTATTTAGTTCAATGCTACGGAAAAAATGATTATTAATTTTCTGCTTCTTTAACACAATACCCAAGTAGCATTTTCACGACTTGCGACCACATGTTTACTAAACACAACGTTGGATTAGTTACAAAAAATAGTTAGCTCCCTACCTTGGGTATTAAAATAAATTTAAACGTTTTTATAACGTTGTGCCGACGTTGGACTAGTACTACAGCAAAGTAGAAGCTTCTGCGACGTCGAATAAACGTGTCTTGTAACCTTTTTTGCTTAAGTGATCTTTAGGTGATTTGGACAACGTAGTTACAACGTTGGATAATATAGAGTTTTCCGACGTCAGTTTCAGGACCTATTCCAACGTTATGCAAACGTCGTCTGTTTTACTAATTCCAACGTTGTTTAGATTTCCTTATTCTTACGTTGGTAGGACGTAGAGTCACTACCTTTTTGCAACTGTATTGAACCATAACCTTAAATCTTAAATTTTCAATTCATTGTTCTGTTCAGTCAGACAGTTCAGTGCTGTTTTTGTTTTTATAAAAAAAAAACTTAATTAAAATGGGACATAAGAAAGGTACATATAAAACTAAATTTAAATATACATCGACATATATTACCGACACTTCCTCGTTTATTTAGATTATAGAGGGCGGCACAAGCTAGACTCTAGAATGACTAAATTAGGCAATCTTGCGACTAGTATACTACCTGTTAAGGCCGAACTGCGACTTTATTAGTCCAGTATGCGACTACTCGAACTACTCCATCTTAATCTCCAAAACAACAAAGTTAAAGCCGCCATGTTGTTAAATAAGAAAATGTTTCGTTCTTAAAATAGCAATTCCTGCTTTTTGAATACATTAACTTGAAATATTTGACCCTAAAAAATACGCGGAAACAATTTTTTCGAATGCGAATAAATTATTCTCATTTTACTAAAAAAAAAATTCAAGAAAATTTTTAAAACTTCTTTAATTTCAAGGCCCATTAGTATTTTTTAAAGTAGAAACAATACATTTATCAATAAAGTTGTTTGCGTTTAACTTTTTACCTTGGGTAACGAGTTACAGAGTCGGTTAAAGTGTTTCAATAATTATGATCTTCAAACATCCTCCACACTTAAATACTTTTGTTTTGTTTTCCTTCACTGCCATCTGACATATGTCTCTAACTAAATTATAAAAATAATATATTTACTATAATTATCCCAATTTAGGATAAAACGCGACTTAGACGCCATATTAGTTTTGTATTTCTGTGAATTAGGATTTTAAACAACGTTGCAGTTTGTACTAAATTAGGCTTCTAGCCAACGTCGGTATCCAACGTCGCGTTTCGACCCAAAAATTATTCTCCAAACTAGTGCAGACTAGGGTTGGCACGAGGTTGTGCCGACGTTGCGCCCCGACGTTTGGTCGCGTGACACAACGTTGTCCCGACGTCCAAATGCTGCTTGGGAGCAAAATATACAAGGTGTCCCAGACTGTGCGTGCATTAGAAGTTTATAGAGAATTGCAATATCTAAATCGGAGAATTTTTGCACATCATTTTTTCACAATGAGATATCATCTAAGAGAGATCAAACAAATACCTTAAAAACAATTTATTTTAGGTATAGAAACATGTATAATCAAAAAGTAACGATTTTCACCAGTGAAATAAAAAAGTGGGTTTCCATTAGAAAAAAAATGATTTATGATAATTTTTTAATCGTTCAATTCCATGAGAGCTGCGACCAATATTATATGACATTCAAACAATTTAACTTTTGAAGTAGATATCCACATGTCTTCTCTTTGTCACAGTGGCTGTGGTAGTCACTAAATTTGACGTTAAAAATGTGTATAGCCCCTAGATCATATATATAGTCTGTCCAACAAGAAGATCCTTGACAGTGATAGATGTGTCTGTCATTTTTAATTTCAAAGTAGTTTATTTTATTTTACAAAGAAATAAGTTGGTACAACTGGAACGCATAGCAGGAAATTAATATATCTATTTAAAATTTGACTGACAAGTAACTTATTAAATAAACGTAATAAGCGTAACAAAATATTGTGAAAAAAACTGTATAAAACTGAAAAAATGTAATAGAATTATTTTATTTTATAAAAAACGGTATGTGTTAATACAAAACAAACAAAAACAAGACACCACATACCAAAAAATATAAAAAAGAACTATTTCTTACTTTCAAGCTTTATGAAACTTCCTGCATTTATGATTATATTTGTCAATATAACTTATGTACAAATACAAATTTGTAATATTCCGCAGGAATAAATAAAACAACACAAATAAAACAAACTATTTTATTAATAATAACACTTACCAAATTTTATACCTCACAGACATCATCTGCTTTTCTTCTGTCATCGTCTGTCGAAATTAATTAACTTTAATCTTAATTTTTTTAAACCAGTACCTTTTGACATTATTTTTCTGCAGTACTAAAATCCATTATTTACCTATCGTGTGATGTCGATATTTTACAGCTACTCCAGTTTTTAGTATTTGTTTAGTATGGTCCTTCTACCATATTGGAGATGCACTTATCTACGACGAAATGGTATACGAACTTTATTGATAGTAATTTTATTGATGTGTCTGTATAAGACTTTCTGCCTGGGCAGCGAGTATTAACCATAAACTGTGCTCTGGGTTCTACAGTTAATTTTCACTCGATTTTTCCTCAACTTGACTTCAAAAGACACAAAACACACGTAATAACACGAATCAAAATGCATCATCTTCCAAAACGCAGGGTATTTGACAAAAGTTGTCACAAAATCATAGATAAAAGACTTATACTATTAAATAGATAGGCAACTTATAATACATTTCAATTTTATTATACAAGGGCGCCTCTAGTAGACGGAGGAAGAAATACTAATGGAAGAGAGGGGTGCGGGGAAGGGGGGTTGTTTTAGTTAATTTAAAATATATTTAGACATACATGTAAGAACACTTTGTGTGCTTTTAATTAGGTCGAACATATTATAAACGATAAATCAACTGAATTAAAAGCATACAAAGTGTTCTTATATGTCGGATATTAATTAAAAAATATATCGTCGCCTTAATCGGCAAAATGCGTAACTCCACATTTTTCATAAAATGACATTTTTGTGCCATCTGGTAGGAAATATTACAACCCATGACTTGCAGAAATCCGTATATCCAAAATTAAATCGGTTTATTTGGCATTCCATAAGTAGAAAACCTCGTATCTCCTTTCCCGCCAATTTCAATCGGCAAAATCCGTAAATCCGTCGGTTTGTTATACATTTTCATGGTGAACACATGTATAACAATGTTATGTGGTTTATTGGCTTTGCTGCAGTGATACTAACATCTTATTTTGTATAATTAACTCTTATAAGGTAAGAGTAATTTCTATTTATTAGGTACAGTACATTTTTAGAGTCAAAATTAATAAACAGAGCGGTAAAGGCAAAATATTATTTTTAAGGGAGTTACGCAGTTTTCGTGTTTTATATTTTTAGTAGTTACATTTACTCACATAGGACATAAGTACTTTTCTTCACGTTTGTTATAGAATTATAAACATATTTTAACCTGCTTTTCAGTTACAGAAAATATTTTGTTTAATCAAGTATACGCTTCCGTTAAATGAGCAGCTTATACCAAATATTAAATATATCTATCGGTTTTGTAAACAGGGTCAGTCTAAACCATCTGTTAATTTCGAATGATTTTATTGCAAAAGAACTAGAGTCTAAAACATGCTTAAATGGCTTATTCTACACTCTTAGAGCGATTTCTTCTCCATTCGTGTAGAACATAGCTTATATACTCGCTTATATATCAATTTCAAACGTTTATAGACCATGTTCGGTTTATTTATTTTAGACCATGGCAAGGCGAATTGACAGAATCTTTAAAGCATTGGACGTTGTAAAAAGTAATACACAATGCAATGTTAACGAGGCGCCAGTTAAAAATAGCGTATATAAAAAACCATTTAGCGACAATCCGGATTTCAATGCAACCTTAAAAAATAATGATAGTTATAACTTAGATCTATCGAAAACCATTGAAGAAGCCGAAATTATATTTTTAAACGATGGTGGTAAGTAATCATTAAACCTCTATGTAGCTAAACAAACTTGGCATCTAATTGTAGATGTACCAATAAGCGAACTTATGGTTGCATCCAATAATGCTGAATGTATATTATCTGAGGAACAAGAAATTCAAATGCTGGTAAAGGACAGAAGGGGTAGGATTAATATGATTGAGAGTGTCATTTCACTATCTAAGTTTTATTTTTAGAAGAAACATTAGCTTCAGTGGACTTCAATATGGAAGTTGACCGGATATTTAATGAAATACCTTCCTGTTCAGCAGTACAACCTAGTAGATCTGAGGTAACTATCAATATTCACGAGACACTGATTAAGGAAAACATTTATGGAGAAACGGATAATAACGATCCCGATTTTAATCCAGCCTTAAAAAATTAGGATACCTCTGACTCAGAAGATGACCCTATTGCCGTGCCAAGTAATTTACCGGACGACAACATATTGGAAGATGAAAACCCAAGACGAAAACGATCAACAAAATACGAAGTAAACAGAAACGAATGGTATGAAAATAGAAACCGAATAAATAGAGAAAAAGGAAAATCCTATTTAGGGAAAAAAAAGGAAGTGGAGGTATGATACTGTACAGGAACCAAGATTACTAAAAGAGGCCTGTAACTGTAAACTAAGTGCAAATCCAAAATGTATTTTGAAATGTAGACAGATAGCGGAAAATGAGAGAGAAATTATTTTTACGCAGTTCTGGAAATATACTTGGGCAGAAAAGAAGATGTTCGTAAAAAACCATGTGTCCGTAGAAACCACTAGTAGAAAGAGAGGATATAGAGAAGTTTCTAGAAGATCATATTCGCATAAGTTTTTTTTGGGCAAGGCCAGACTAAGGGTGTGTAAAGTAATGTTTCTTAACACATTAGGGGTGAACGAGTGGGTTATAAAAAAGTGGACAAAAAATAGCGACCAAGTCCATTTTAACCAGACTGAAATACCTGATAAAATTAATACTTCTGTTCGTTTGCTGCATGAGTTTTTTGAGACTCTACCAAAGTTAGAGTCGCATTACTGTAGGGCTTCTACCGCTAAGCTTTATTTAGAACCTATTTGGAATTCTAAAGCCCATTTATATAAGGTTTATAAAAACGACTACTGCAAAACACGTAATGGAAAATCTGTATCAATTGCCACTTTTCATAAGGAATTTGACAAAAAAAGGTTGTCGCTTTATAAACCAAAAAAAGATCTATGCGACTGTTGTGTCGCTTATCAAACAGGCAATTTAACAGAAGAAAAGTACAATGAACACATAACATTGAAAGTGAAGCAAGAAACGAAAAGAGTGCAGATAAAGAGTCTCAAGATGAAGTCTTAGCAATGGATCTCCAATCGGTTTTGCTCTCTCCAAAATCTAATGTTTCTTCGCTTTATTACAAGACCAAATTAATCGTTCATAATTTCACAATATTTGACGTCAAGCGCAAACAAGGTTATTGCTACCTGTGGAATGAGTCTGAAGGCGGATTAACAAGTAACGAATTTTCAAGCATCATAATTCATTTTCTGAAGGGACATCTAGAACAATATCAATTAGAAAATCAAAATGAAATTAAGAATTATATTATGGAGTGACGGGTGTGGATACCAGAACAAGAAACACAACTTTATCAAATGGTCTGTTTAATTTTTGCACTGGAAAAGATATATTATGGAGGACAGGTGTGGATACCCAGAACAAAACACAACTTTATCAAATGGTCTGTTTAATTTTGCACTGGAAAAGAATGTAACTGTGGTACAAAAATATTTACATAAGGGCCATACACAAATGGAAGTGGACAGCGTTCACTCTGTTATCGAAAGAAAGATCCGAAACAAGAAAATCAATATTCCCGCAGATTACGTATTTATTTGTAAAACAGCATGTCAAAAAACTCCTTACAAAGTTGAGTACCTTATGCACGACTTCTTTAAAAAATATGATGAACTAAAATATTTCAAATCCATTCGACCAGAAATAATCGCTGGAGCACCATTAGTAAACGATATAAAAGCCTTGAAGTACTCAAATGATGGAGTTTTTTTAAACTTCGTCATTCAGAAAAAGATTGGCAAGCTCTTCCAACAAGGTTGAACATAAAATCTATTAAGGCAACTAATATAGATAACTTACCGATACTACACAAAAATAGGCTAAAAATTAAAGCAGAAAAATATGGACACCTCCAACAGCTTAAGCTAAGCATGGAAAGCGATTATCACGATTTCTATAATAATCTACCTCATGATTAATCTTTTTTAAATTAAGTTCTTAAATGTTCTACTTTTATAAATAAAAATATTTTCATATTCATTTTCTTATTATTTTATTGCTATAGTTTTATTGGTAAGAAAAATGCCTATCTCCAATTTTTAAATTAAAATATAAAAAAGAAAATTACCTATCTCCATTTTTTATAAAAATTAATGATTAATGTTACAATACTAATTATGCCCCTCGTTTTTGTCACTTTTATGATATTTTTTAATCATTAAAAGCAATAATTGTGATAAAATTAAATAAAGTTAGAGGTAAAATCGTTTTTTGTGTCTCCTGAAAAATTTGTAGGAATGGAGTTACGCACTAAGCCGATTAAGCCGACGATATTAAAAATACTAGAAATAGTATATATTAAGTTGTTACAGTTATAATTTAATCTTTGGCGGTTTTCAGCAAATAGCAGGCAGTTTTACATAATTTTCCTTCCTTTGAAGTGAATTGGAAACGGCTAGGTATATAATTTTGGTGTAGGCAAGATTCCCAGTTTGTTTCCGTTTGGGACCTGAAATAATAAAAACAAATTAAATCAGATGTAATCATCTGCTGATCATGCTAATATAAAACGCGCGTCCTTAATTCCTTACATGCACCGTAAAAAAATTAAATAACTGCTCTGCAAGTAGCATTTATTAGCAGTACTAATTTAAAAAATATATAACTGTAAGTAGATATGTTTAATTTACTTACCATTGTATTCTTCGGAAACCAGGTGTACAACAATTAAACTCCATGATAAAAAATAACTAAGAGTTATTACAAAACACAAATTGTCCCACTATTTTTAAAAAACATTGTCTAAAACAGAATACTGGCAAAAAATCTGAAGGAATTTAATTTTACAATAATTCGACAAATCAAAACGAAATCAAACCGTAAAATCACAACAAAAGCGTCTCTGAGTGACAGTTAAAAATCAAATTTTATTATTGTCAGATATTGACATTTGCATTGTTAATATTGACAGTTTTAATATTTTGCGCCTCTGCATCTTGGAGGAAAAACTATTTTTAATGAACTGTCATTTCCTTTTAAGTTTCCCAGCCATGCACAAAATTATAACGTATAATTTGGCAAGACTTTGACAAACGTCAAAAATCTAAAGGCGAGTTCATACGCATCGGCGTCCATTTGTCGTTTATCGTTCAGTCAAACCAATGAAATTGAAATACGATCTGTCATTTTTGAAATAAACCAATAGAACTGGTTAAAAACAACAAGTGACGACGCATGACGAATTTATATTTAAACCCATCCATAGTTAACTTAAAAATTATTAGAAACTTTTTTTAGTAAAATAAATAGATTGGTATGGGACGTCATCTGCTTTTCTTCTGTCGTCGTCTGTCGAAATCTTACCTGAGAAAAAAAACAGAGTATACTTACGTATAGCCTAACACATTTTTTTGACGGGCAGTTTTTTTCTTCCAAAAATTTTACATATTTTTTTCTCAAAAACGGTTAATGTTAGGTATAGAATATTTGATATTAAAATTCATAAAATTTTACAATTTATAAGTATGTAATGTATTAAGTATGTAATAAAAAAAGAAGATACCCATTTAAAATAAGACACTTGCTGTTAACTTCCGGTATATCGAGCGAGATATCATTGTGAAACAATGATGTGCAAAAAATCTCCGATCTAGACATTGTAGTTCTCAAGAAATTTCTATTGCACGCTCAGCCTGGGAAACCCTCTATAACGTTAATTAAAGTTTTATTATCATAGAAAGACGTTTTGATTTTTGGAACTTCAATTTTTTAAAAATTAAACTATATTTTCATATTTTACTTGAACAAAAATCAAGTATTTTTGCTCAAGTTACGTATCCGTGTGAATCAAAGCCATGCCAAGAATAGCTGCAGAAGATCGTCTTCTCCCGAATAAGCAGTATTTCCATATAAAAGCATAATGTTCTCACACGATTGTCATTCTCGGTTACTCTCTATTATTGTAATAAACCTTAAACTAAAGTCTAATCTTGTAACTGTAAGTTTTTGAAAATATATTTTTTTTAAATGCGGCTACGAGTTGTAAAAACGAATAACTAGCAAAAGAAACTACACATAACGCAGAAACCTAAATGAAAGATATTTTTCTAACTCAAATAAAAGAAATAAATATATTATTATTATCAATATGTGTCCGATATAAAGCCACTTTAGTTTGGTTTGGGGTCTCGCTTTCAGACAGCCATCAGCGAAAAAAAATCGTTCCCAATAAAATACGACAACGGACTGAACCATATCCACCATAACCTCTTTCTCTTATATCTTTCTTATATCACCGGCCAGCTCTATCTACGACAGATTACCTCGAATAAAATCAAACTATTTATCCTCTGGGATGCCCAGAGGAGATTTTTCCAGGATATGTCGATATTCCTGAACATCCTCCTCAGTAGCGGCCAAGCAGAGGGGTATGAAGGATATTCAAATATCGCCTCTAATTTCTGTATTATTAATCCGGTAAATGATGGAGATAAACAATTGTGATTGATTTAAAATTTTATTTTAAGATGAAACTTTTGTTAGCAATATTCAAAAAATTCGGTTAATGAATTGAATAATGACTAGACAAGTGACATCTGTCTAAAAAAGACGGCGATTTATACATACATATTCTGTGAGTTTACTCGTTGCCTAACGATTAACATTAATTTAAAAATAAATCCGACATTAATAAGGAACAAAACATTTAAACAAAAAGAGACCACAGACAACACAAAACAAATTGTTGGTTAGTAGAAGTTAGTAGTAGTCAGAGATATAGATATAGAAGTATTTTGGGTTAATGGGCCACAGCTATCCGGCCGGGTAATAGAATTATCGTTTTTTTTTATAAAAATTAAAAAAGCATTATAAAATTGTAAAGCTAGAATAGTATACGGTTTTATAATAACTCTAATTTTTTATAGTTACATAAAAAATATATATCCTTCAAATCCTTTAATAATTTTTTGTATTCCTAGCGTCTTTATATATAAACTAGCGTGTACCCGCGACTTCGCTCGCGTCAAGTTAATCATATTTCAAAATATTGTTACGTTTTTCCTCGGTTCCGTGTGGATAGAAAGTCACAATTTATTTAAACACTCTTTATTTAACACTAATTAACAAAAACAATAACGATAAAAGACTTATAGAACTATTTACAAACGATTTATAACTAAGAATTTATTTTGAATTTTAGCGCGTCAACTGCACTGGTATATTTATAACTGCCCCCTGAGCCACGGCCGCCGGCTTTTATACCGGCAGGTAAAGAACTCTAGAATTGTCCATAGATCGTTAGGTGCGTAGAGAAGGTTTTCGAATGTTCTCGTATGTACTCGTCCATTCCAGTGGGACTCGATTCTTCTCGAACGAATGAATCATTGCGGTGTCTATGCGATGTTAAGGTCATCCGAGGGCGGGCCATATTGTGAGGTTAGGTCGAGTCCACACCGGCCCGCAACACTGCCCCCTTCTTAGGCACATGCTCGTCCCGAGATGTATACGGTGAATGAAGGTATTTGCAAAGCTGGCCCCTGGTACATTGCGAAGTCTGGTAGAAATAGCAGTCTACAGTTTTCTCTCCCGATCTCAGCTTTGGGTTGTAGCAGCAAACGAGGATCTCGATTCCCGTAAATCTGAACAAGACTTCAATCATGTTCCGGATTGTACGCCAACTCAAACCATCGAGTCCACACGCCAGCTTCGGAATGGCTAATCGTGCAATGTTGTTGTTTAGCAGGGCTTCTCTCAGTTCAATCAGGGTCTTCCATAGATTGAGATAAGTCGGCTTACTCGGGGACCATTCCTTGGTGACCAGGTAGAAGATGTGCCTTGCTTGACCATGTGCATTGTCGGTTAGCCTCAAGACGCTTCCAACCTCTGGATCCTGTCGGCGTAGTTCTCCGACACGCCCAAACTTCTCATTGAACGTCGCAGCGATTCCTCTGGACATCCGCAAATCTCGAGCCACACAATGAGCGAGCGAATAA